TCTGTAGCCAGCTGAGGCTATGGGATTTAGCACAATTAACAGAAGATGATTAACTTTGGCTCTGTTTTAAGGTAACCATTTGCTAGACCAACTAACTCCTGTATCAATTTACCAGATGTAATATTTTTCCCCTTCTGCTATCTGTGACCGTAAACCTCCATCCTCCTCATTTGCCTGCTATAAATTTTACAAGCCTATCTTTGAAATATTAAATCCTAATTGCATTTTTTTTTCTGTCATAAACTATATAAGCCCTTGGGAAAACTTTGTCTATTGCCCGGAGGTAATTTAGAAACTCTTGAGCCTGTGCTCAAAGTATAATAAAACCTGTTTTTAAAATGTCTCTACCTGTGATAAGCATGATTTGCAGCAATATCTATCAACACATCACTGGCTATTTTCATATCCCCACCAAGGCATCCTTTGTAACAAAGCAAAAAGGTTTAGTAAAACAAATTCAGACAGCAACTACAACCTCTCTACTGTTTGAGCTGTGTTTCCATCAAAGATGACTAGGCCAACTCGATCTGTAGTGCATTCAGCTGAACCAGCCTAAATGTCATGCTTCGAAAGCTGACACCACCAAGAAACCTGAAGGGTGATGAAGAGGCCGAGAAAAATAAAAATGCTTTGATTCCTGGAACTAGTGTTGAATGGTTCTTCTCTCTGAAAATCATGGATTCCAGGGTCCCCAAACAATAATCCTTGTTGCCACTTAGTTCTGGAGCAAGCAAAGGAAGCAGGCCTAGACCAGCTTCCAAGTCAGGTCTTGGCTCTGGTCTTGACTTGCAAGGAGAATGCCAGGGGCCACTATTTCCCCACCCCCCAAACCCTCCTCTCCTCCAAACTTCCCTAGTTCCCCTGAAGGCACTACCATCCTCTTAGTTACCTAGGCTAATCTTGGAATCAATTTCCACTCTTCACTCCTCCTCCCCCCACATCCAAAGAGTAGAGGGGTCTTTCCAATCCTGCCCCTACAACATTTCCTATTTTTCCCTTACTGCCATCCTCAATACCCACATCAAGGCTCCCAAAGCAACAATCTGTCCTGAAGATACACAACTGGTGGCATTTGCTAGGCAGGCCATGGCGCCACTCCCTGCTCAAACACTACTGTAGGCCAGGGGTGGAGAACCTCGTGTAGGCAGGCCATGGCCCTACTCACAAGAACCTCAGGAACAACTGCGGCCTCCAGGGCCAGTGGCTCTCCTGCCAGCACATCCCCAGTGCCATCATTTGGAGGAAAAATCTTTTAAAGAGCTGATCTTGGGGTCAGTTTGGGGATGTTTAGCAACAGCTTCTACAGGTAATGCAGCTCCCACCTCCTCAGCAACTCAGCTACTGAAAATTCAAAAAATAAAGTTCTTGCCACCAAAGTCCTTGGCACTGTCAAATGGGTCTACATCAGAAATACATAGTTTTATCATTAGGGAAAAAAACACTAAAAAGATGCATTACCATATGACTTGCCAGGACACCCTAAGGACCACTGGGCCCTTTCCATCTGCTTAGCAGTTAAGGCCTCCTACATGAATTGTCTTTCCTTGCTAGAACAGGAGTTTCCTGAGAGCAGGGACTGTTGCTCTATTTTCTCCCTGTATCCCTAGCAATTAGCACAGTACATGGTATGGTTAGCATTTAACAAATGTTTTTTCATTCTTTCATTTGAAAATATATGCAATATTATACATTCATAACCCCCAACATATAATATGAAATTTAATAGGGATAAGTGGAACGCTTTAAAATCTGAGTTTAAAAAAAATTTCACAAATACAAAATAGAGGAGGCATGACTTGACAGCAATTCATCTGAAAAAGATCTGGGAGTTATAACAGACTATAAGCTCCTTGAGTCAACATTATGATATGGCAATCCTTCCCCTCATACCCTCACCATCCCCAGCCAAAAACCCCCCTAAACTACTCATACTTACGTAAGGTGGATACAACAGGTATTATCATTATTCTTATTTTACAGAAGAGGAAACTGAGGTTTAGAGCATTTAAGTGACTTGCCCATAGTCATACCTAGTGTCAAAAGTGAGATTCAAACCCAGGTCCTCCTAAATCCAAATGCAGTATTTCCTACCCCTCTGAGATTATCTCCAATTTATCCTGTGTGTTAACTTGTTTGTTCATAGTTCTTTGCAAGTTATCTTCCCCCATCTGATTGTGAACTCCTTGAGTAGGGACAGAAGATTTTTGTCTTTCTTTGTAGCTTCAGCACTTGGCATGGTGCTTGGCACACAGGAGGTACTTGATAAGTGCTCGTTGACTACACCACACTGTGATATAAAACACAGACTAAAGATTATTGTTAGCCCCAGAGGATAGAATCAGAAACAACGGGCAAAATTTGCAGAAGTAGATTTTATCTCAATATAAGGAAAAACTTGCCCAGAATTGGCAATTATCCTTTAAAGTGGAATGAGCTGCTTCTGAAGGTAGTGGTTGTCCCCTTACTGGAAATATATAAGCAAAGGCTGTTGAACCAACCACTCTCCAGGTACCACACGACAAGCATTTATTAGATGGCTACAGTGTCAAGCACAGTGCTACCTGGCGGAGATAAACTGACAAAAATGAAACAGTCCGCGTTTCTGAGGAAGTTACATTCTGTAGGAGAGGACATGTATGTAAAGAAGTATCTACAAAATATATAAATTTATGGGAGCAGGGGAGATCAGGAAAGGCTTTACAAAGAAGGTGATGCTTGAGCGAAAATTTGAAGGACACAAGAAATCTGGTAAGAGTGCACTCCAGGCAAGGGAGACGAGTCAGTGCAAAAACACAAAGGCAGGAGATGAAGTGTCCTGTGTGAGAAACCGCAAGCAGGTCTCCTTGCTTGCAATACGGCGTAGGAAAGGGCCGTATCGATATATAAGGTGGAAAAGTAAGTTGAGGCCAGGTCGTGAAAGGTTTTAAAAGCGACAAAGAGCTTGTATTTGGTTTTGGAGGCAATAATTCCATAAACAGGACTTTCTGGGTTATAGTGTAAAAGGAATTCACATTCAAGTATCGGTTGAACTAGACAGCCTTTAATCCAGGGGTCAAATAAACTTGTTTTTATTTTTTTTAATAGTTTAATAATTTGTATTTCAATATAATTTGTTTTCTTTATAATTTTATCTTTAAAAAAAATTATGCATATGAAAATACGGTTCTTGAGAAGTGGTTCATTAAGAATCCCTGCCCCTTTCCAACCCAGTCTGGGAGTCTCCTCTTTGATGCTTCCTTGACAACTGCGTGATCTGTGGGCTGGAGGAATGGGGGAAGGGGCGTTTACTAGGGGAATTAGAAGAGGACAGAACGGGGTGGGGAAGGTGCTGAGAGGTGGGTGGGTGTGGGGGAAGGGTAAGAGAAGGGGTGATGGGGGGGAGGGGTGCATGGGGAGAAACGAAGGCTCTTGACGGATCAGGGCGGGAGGGGGGCCAGGGGCCCTGCACGCAAATGGGAGGGGTCGCTCGAGAGTCGCACAAGGGATGAGGAAGCGAGTCCTAAGTCGGCCCGGGGACCCGCGCTCACCGATAGAAGGCCGCTTCCCCGAGGGGGTTCCAGTCCGCAGTGTAACAGTCCATGGCGGCGCCCGGATCCCCCTACACATACGGCGTCCACTCAGCTCCAAAAGGCTTCCCTTTTTTCCCAGCCGCTAAACTTCCGCTTCCGCCCGTCGCCATCACGTGACGACGCCTAGGCCGCCATCGCCGCTGTGGGCACAGACTAGGCTCCGCCTTCTTCATGGCCCCGCCTCCACGGCCTCGGTCACGCCCCCCCACCTACCCCCTCCCTCCGAGCCTGCCTACAGCTGCACATCCAGCCCCAGACCCGCCCTCCATTCAATTCAATTCAGCACCTGCTGTGTGCTGGCCCCCAAGGTAATGCGGAGGGAAAAAATGCTGCTAGCTCTGACCCTAGACTCTGCCTGCGAATAGCGGGGACAAGTACCTAAATGGCTACGCCTGATGTAAGGGAGAGTGAGATAAGAGCTGTGAACCCGTCCACGGGGTGCTATGGGGCATTTGAGGGAAAAATCAGGAAGGCTTCGTGGAAGAGATGACCCCCAAGCTGGTCCTTGAAGAAAGGAGTAGATAATGGTCCTGCCCTCCCTTGGGAAGAATTAGAGGTGTCAGATCCCTGGGCGTGCATCAGCTTCCCCTCCCCCCCAGCAGCTGAGGGCCCCAAGTTTGGAGTCTGGGGATTCCTGGGGTTGTGGGGTGAGTAGGGCCAAAGGGGGAAGACGTTTATGGGGTGTGCTAATATAAAAAAAATCTAGTTGTTTATATTATTTCATTTTTTAAAAATTAAGTTTCGTTTTCGGTTCTTTAGCGTGACGAATAAAAATAATGTCTTTTACGATTTAGCATCCAAAAATATTCGTCTTAAATAAAATTTCCTGAGTGCACACCGTAATGAAATGTGCTGCGCACGACTATGGGGGGCAGGAAGAGAAGTGAAGGGAATCTTGGAAATGAGGTTTATTTACCGTAAGGAGGACGGCAGGGACCAGGTGGAAAACCGGGGAGGGGGGGTGAGGAAGAGCGGGGCAAGTGCGAGGTGAGGGGAGGGTAGAGTACTGCATCCAGCCCCCGGAATCTATCATGAATTGATCCTCTTAAGATTCTCCAGATTTGGGAGGATGACGACGCGCTGCCAGAAAATTCTGCCTTTTAATAACTACCAGGGACTAAACTGGATTCGAATCCTAGGCCTCTGACTGCAAAACCTGGGCTGTCTTCTTGGCACTAGATAGCTACGCTTCTCCATGAATAATCTCACAAAGCAAATAATCTGCCCCGGAGAATGGTTAGTGATCAATTGAATAACCAGATTTTGAAGAATGTATAATGGGTGGAGAGCGGGAGGGGCACTGGGGGCCACAGAAAAAAGCCCCTCCCCTCCCCTTCCTTTCCGGGCGGTCCCATCCTCTCCTCCCCTCTTCTCTCCCCTCCCTCTTTTTTCCCCCTCCCCCTCCCCCCTCCCTCTGCTCCCTTCACTCACAGCTTCCTCCATCTCCTCCACCTCCAGGTTGCCCTCCCGGATCTCTTCTCTCTTTCGCTGGTGCTAGATAAATAGGGGTGAGCGTCGGGCTGGAGCATCCCAAGCACGTGGGGGACGGACTCTTCCGAGGGCGGCGGACTGAGCAAAGCTGGAGCTCCAAGTCGGTAAGTGCCAGGGGAGGTAAGGGAATCGAAACTGAAAAGATCTTCAGTAATTAATACGGTAAAGCCCCTTATACTGCAACTCACCCCCGGAAATGGAAACTGAGACCACAATAAGACAGTGGAGCACTGAAGCCTGAACCTAGCCTCGATGTCTGATTCTCTATGGCACACCCCTACCCCACCACCCCATTCCCCTGGGTCCTGAAGCAACTCACCATCCCTCCTTCTCCCTCGGGAGGGGCAAAAAGCTAAACTCTACCCTTCCGCCCCACCAGTACCAACCCCCCTTCCTCTTCTAGATCTGAGGAGCCTGCTGGGCCACTCCTCCTTCACCTCCTTCAAACCAGCTGAGTTCAGCCAAGTGCCCCCAGTCCCTGCCAGCCTAGTTATCTGTCACCCTCAGGCACCATGGTTCATTTCTCGTCGTCAGACGTCCAGCAGCTGCTGCACAACAAGTTTGTGGTTGTCCTGGGAGACTCCAGTGAGTTTGAGGACCTTCCTCTGCTTCTCCACCTTCCCTCCGCCCCCATCTGCCCTTGGCTGCATCCCCAATAACTCTCCTGTCTATCGGCCAGCCTGTCCCCGTACTTCTGGGCCTCCACTGTTCTCAGTGTATCTGTCCTTATCTGTGGCCTTCTCTCCCCCAGGAGAGGGGCTGGGGGAGGAGGGCTCTGAGGTATGGGGCTCTGCCTCAGCTCCCCCTCCCCCACTATCTCCTTTCTCCTCAGTCCAGAGGGCTGTGTACAAGGACCTGGTACTTCTGTTGCAGAAAGACTCCCTACTGACGGAAGCCCAGCTCAAGACCAAGGTGAAGGGTTATCCTGGGAGAAGGAGGGATTAATCCAAGGCCCCTGGATTTGATGGGAACAGCCTGGGGAGAGGAAAATCCTGGGCAAGGTGTGTGTGGGGGGGTGGAAGTCTTTTCAAGGGTTGGCCGTGTTTATAGGGTTGTTGACTAGTGTGTCTCATATCCAAAAGCAGTATGCCACTTTCTGCACTGGGACTGGCTGGTATGATTGGCAGATCCCCTGTTTGGGAGATAGGGGAAGAGAGGATAGACCAATGAATCTATTGACACTGTAAGGCCTATGTCTGGATTAGGGGGAGCTGAGCTTTGAGCAGGACCGTCTGGTGGCAGGGGGACAGCTAGGTGAGCTACACAATGGGACGCATTATCGAGAGGTCCGCCAGTTCCTGTCCAGTTCAGGCCACCACCTCCTACGATTTTATTTTCTCACCCGAGTCTATTCAGCTTATGTGGAGGATGTCCTGACTGAGTTAGAGAATGGACCATCTCCTGACCTGGTCATCATAAACTCCTGCCTCTGGGACCTCTCCAGGTGAGAAGAGAGAGAGCTGTACAAGCACAAGCTATACATCCCACCCCCTCCTCTCTGGGATTCAAGTACAAATCCCTAGACTGAATACAAACCACAAGCCCTTTGACCTGTATTCTTTTTCTATCTGTGACATTTACAGGTGTGGCAGGATTTGGATACTTAAGTCTTCCCTATGGGGAGCATCCAGTCCCCTATACTTGCATGTCCTTGCTTAAGACTCTGAATCTTCCCATACATGTGTATTTTGGCCTCTAGGTATGGTGGTGATGCCATTAGAAGTTACCAGGAAAACTTGGAATGTTTATTTGAAAGGATGGAGCAAGTGCTGCCTGCCTCCTGCCTTCTGGTGTGGACCCTGGCTATGCCGCTGGGTGAGCGCATTACAGGAGGCTTTCTGCCACCGGAGGTGAGAAGGTTTGAGATTCTCCTCACCCCCTATGATTGGGGCTTAGCCATGTCTATATGCCACGTCAGTCCAGCCTTTGGGGGGAAGAGGGATCTGAATCTGTTGTGCATTCCTCAGCTTCAGCCAGGGATGGGCTCTCTACGTGCAGATGTGTTGGAAGCAAATTTCTACTGCTCAGTGCTGGCAGATGAGCACCGCTTCGATGTGCTCGACTTGCATTTCCACTTCCGACACGCAGTTAAGCATCGGCGTTTGGATGGCATCCATTGGGACCAACACGCCCACCGCCACCTCTCACAGCTATTACTGGCCCATGTGGCTGAGGCCTGGGGGGTGGAGGCTCCCCGACGGGGACCCCCTCTTGGTAAGCTACCCCCTCAGAATGGAGGGGAGGGGTAAAGAGGCTCTAGAGGAGAAGGGATGGGTCCATTTCTTCAGCAGAAAAAAAACCAGATCATGAGACAATGTGTCAAGCTTGATATGGGAGATCCAGAGATTTAAATCTAGAAGGGTTTTCTCAAAGTCACAAAGGTAATAAATGGCAGAGCCAGAATTCAGCCTTTCTCTCCAAAATACCACACCACACACCACGTCTCTATTGGATCCTTAATAGTATAGTTATCCCTTCCACATCTCGGGGATTAGGGGTGCAGTATCCCTTTGATCTGGAAAATCTGTGTAGTTTTTTTTGGCTCTCCTTTTGTACCAGGAAAGAAGACTGATTTTTTCTTTTTCTTTTATGGGATATTTACAGTACCTTATTGTAAAATTTGCATTAAGTATTTGGTCATTGGCTGTGTTATCTGCTGGCCTTCATGTGTCATCTGAGGCTTCACAAAACTCTGCCAAAATTCCCATTTAATTTCTTATGCCAACCCATGATATATTGAAACATCAATGGGGAAAGTTGCGATGTGGAAGAGATAACTGTGGTGTGGGCCGGGCATTGAGAAGGATACCCTGGCCATGGAGAGTCAAATTCTGCCCTTGGGAAGCTTCCAGTCTAGTGGGGAGAAAAGACCTTATTCAGCTGTGTTAATACTTGTGTGAAAGGTCCTTAAAGTCAGAGATGTCAGTTATAATATTATCCAGATGAGAGGTGAAAAGGTGATGAGGGCTTGAAGTAGGATTGTTAAATGGAGAGAGAAGGGATTGGAGAGAGAAGTCATGGAGGTTGAATTGACAGGATTTGACAACTGATTGGATATGAAGGAAAGAGAAGAGTGAAAGATTGCTCTGAGGCTACACTGAGAGAAACCCAGAAAATTAGGAATAGGCTTTTTAGGACAAAAATATTCCATTTTGGACACATTGAATTTGAGGAGTAGTGCTGGACTATCAGGGTAGAGATACCTACCAAAAAGTTGGGAATGTGGTGCTAGAGTTTGGATAGAGATTAGAGTTGGATATAATATAGATTTAGGACTATCCAGAAGGAGTGATCAACAGGGTTAAAAGCACAAAGGTCAGAAAGGACTAAAATAGAGGCCATTGAATTTAACAATCAAAATGCGGGGATAACCTAGGAGGGAAGATGTGGGTGGGAGGAGAGAAAGGCAAGTGAAGAGCTAGGGGATTTGAGCCAGGGAAGGAAGTTTGGAACAGAGATGGGGGAGGGGAATCCAGGGCTTCTCTATGCCTGTCTGAACTGATATTCCCATTTCAGGGGAGTGGAGTCAGGGGAGGGAGCAGTCGTCCCCAGAATATCAAGGCCAAAAGTACAAGGGGGCTTCATCCTGGAGGCATCCAGCCCAGCCATCTGAGGGGACTTTGGTACCCTGGAGACATCCAGTCCAGGGAGCTGAGGAACCTCATTTTGGGAATCAGTCATCACCTCCAGCCCTGGAGTGGTACCCCTTGGAGCAGCCAGTACAAGGGACTGAGGAGTCTGCATCCTGGAGATGTCCATCTCAGAGGACTAAGACATCTCGTTCCTTCCATCCAGTAGCCCAAGACACTGATCATCCTCTGACCTGGCCAGATAGGCAGCACCAGCCCCCGTTCCTGCCTCCATCCCAAGTCCTGCCCTTGCCCCTACCCTCACCCCTCCCTTCACCTCAAGTCCTGCCTCAAGACAGCTGCTTCTTCTCAGATAATCCTGTCCTGCCTGGCTATTCCCCCCTCAACTATATAGCCTTTGGTGATCCCTTACCTCCTCCTCCTGGTAAGTGTGATTTCTTTCTCTCCCTCCCCAAGCCCTGGGAACAGGGTGAGTGGGGGTAACAAGGATTAAGGTCCCCATCTGGCCCCTGGAAGGTGGGAGAGTGACTGTCCCCTTTTCTTCCATGCAAGAGAACTGGGCTCTAAAACAGTAACAACCTTATTCTTCTTTTTTGACCCACCTAACACCACTGGGAGGGGCCTGGGTAGCTAGGTGTGTCAGATCAATCCATTTTTTATAGATAAGGAAACAGAGGCCCTACAGGGGAAAGAGACTTCTTGTCCAAGGTCCCAAAATGAAGGTAAGTGACCAAGCCAATCTCTTCTGACTGACCCCTCATGCCTTTTTTTTTTTAATATAGTGTTGGATTCCACACCTGTTCCCCGGCCTTCCCCAGTCTCTTCCTCACTATGGACAGCACCACAATCTGGTAATGCGACGTATCCAGCGCCATGTGCCTAATGGCCCCTATAGCCGATCGAGGGAGAGAGGCTTCAGTAGACAGTGGTCCAGACCTGGCCAGAAACAATGAACAACCTTCCTATTTCCTGCCCAAGGATTTGGCCGGACATACTTACTTCATTGCCATGGGCAGATCGCCCTTCCTATGGATATAGCCAGATGGATTGATTTTCACAAGTCTATCTCCTGTTTTTTACCAATAAAGATATGCCTTCCTACTGGGGCAAAAGAACCTCATTCTGGCATGTGGCCCTCACTTCCCACTACTATGGCTCCCATTATCCAGCGTTTCTAATATCTTGTGCCAAATAACTTTTACAGCTAGAAGCAGCTAGTTGAAGCAGGGCCAGAAATCAGGAAGTTCAAATGCAGCTTCAGACACTTACTAGCTGTGTGATCCTGGACGAGTCACTTAACCTCTGTTTGCTTTGGTTTCCTCAACTGTAAAATGAGTTTTCAAACCTACCTCGAAGTGTTATTGCTAGAAGCAAATGAGATACTTGTAAAAGCACTTAGCATAGTGCCTGGCATGGAGTAGGTGTTATATAAATACTTACTCCTTTCTGTCTTCCCCTTTTCCTTTTTCTTTCCCCTTCACCTTCCCCTTCCCTGGTCCAGAGAAGTGCCATGAGTCTAAGCCATAAACTGACCCTTGCTGTATGCATAGCTGGGCAAAGTGACCTTTCATGGACATAGCTGGAAAGACTGATACCAATGGTAATGGGTGCAGCTGGATAGACAAATATTATGGAGAACTGTTTATACCAAATTGTAAAGGAGTAACAATCTGTCAATGGAAAGAGTACATGCATGAACAAAATCACAGATCTCTGAAATATTCAATTGCAATGAATGTTAATTAAGTTCCTATGCTGTCCAAGATCCTTTAGTATGATTTTTGGGAGCACATTCATGAAGCTGGGAGGGAGATTAGAACAGGGAATGTCAACAGTCTCCTCCCCCCACCCAAGATGATAGCTCTTTGAACCTCTCTAATGCACTTATCCTACAATAATTGTGTAAGGGGAATTCCTCAATTTCATTTATGGGGTGGTGAGCCCTCTCTTTGCCTTCTGACTTTTGAAAGCATAGAGGGTACAGATATGCCTAGTAGTACCTTGTAAAATCAGAGGCACCTTCTGATTGTTATTGTTTGTCCTTCATTCTTGAAGAGGACCAATGACATTATAAGGGTGATGATTTGCAAGTGAATTGGACATGAATAGGGCAGAGCTGCCCAACATAATCAGCCTCACGCTTTCCTCTAGAGTCACTGAAGTCTCATGGCAAGACAAAGTCAAGAACAATGGTGATAGACCAGGATGCAGTGGGTGACCTTGACCTTTCTAAGTTAAAGTCTTTCCTAGGTCTCAGTTTGTCTGCAATTTCTGATTAGATCTCTGAGTCTTCTGATTACATCTCATTTGACGGGCGCTAGATGAACTGGTATGGGGAAGCTAGGTGGCACAGTAGATAGAGTGCTGGGTCTGGAGTCAGGACCTGAGTTCAAATCCAACCTCAGCTATTAAGCTGTGTGACCCTGGGGAAATCACTTAACCCTGCTTGCCTCAGTTCCTCATTTATAAAATGAGCTGAAGAAGGAAATAACAAACTATTCTAGGATCTTTGCTAAGAAAATCCCAAACAGGGTCATGAAGAGTCAGTCGGGACTGGACAAATAACAACAAAGATGAATTACTTGGGTTGAAGGCCCTTCTCCCTACTAACAGGATAGGTGGCTAGGATTTGGTGACTAGGGCTAACCCTTGAATGGTTTGGCATGAACTTGAGAAGACAGTCACCACTTTTCTTAGTACCCAGCATCCTGGCACTTATCCTTCAGTTTTTCCTCCTCTCTCCCTTGGCCCCAGTCACTTGGCTGGCTGGCCTTGGGGTTCTTTGAGCTTTGACTATGCCTCCTTGAGGAGGCCTGACCTCCTCCCACAAAGTTAGACACATTGTGATGGTGTGGAAAGCTATGCAGATGGTGTGGAAAGAGATCTAATCATGGAGTTAGGGGGACCTGGCTTCCTATGCAATTTCTAAATATGCCACAGACTTGCTATAACTCTGAGACTCCCTTTCAGGGCCTCAGTTTCTCTATCAGTACAGTGCAGGACAGGGCAGCTAGATGCCTCAGTGGAAAGAGCGCTGGACCTGGAGTCAGGAAGACCTGAGTTCAAATATGGCCTCAGACACTAGCTGTATGACGCTGGGCAAGTCACTTAACCTCTGTTTCTCTTAATCCACTGAAATGGCATACCATTTTGCCAGGAAAACCCCATGGACAGTATGGCCACAGTGAATGGGAGGGGTAGGGAGGGATGACGACATGCAAATAACTATATACCTGATATGTACAGGGTAATTCGACAGCACTGAAGAACAAAAACAAAGTGGCCGGCAAATTACAGGCTGAGGAACATCGAATCAGTTTTGGGGGCCCATGGTTTTTATAGTTTTAAATATAGTAAAACTATTTTAAAAATATAAAAACCTTTCTTAGTTGGCTGGTCATAGAAAAAAGGGCCCCAAAGGACCCTTTGAATGAGACAGTCATTAAGAACCCTTGTAGCTCTGATAATCTGCGATTCAGTCTCCTCTGACCCGTTGGGTAGAGTAGGCCTTCCTTCTCTCTCCCCTAAATCCACAATCCTTTTCCATCTTCCCATCTGCCCACTGAGCAATTTTGGGAGGAGCAGACCTTTGAGCTTCCTGAGAGGAACAGTCAGAAGACCTGCCTAATGTGGTGATTGTGTCCAATGATGAATTTAACCCCAATTTTATTCCAATTGGCATTCAGTTTAGTGTGATTCCACAGGGGTAGTGCTTATTTCAGTTATACTTGTCTATGAATACACATTTAGTTTAATCAACCAATAATAATAGATATTTTATATATCTAATGTTTAGGGCTAATTAGATCAGGTTAGATAGATTCTTTCTTATATTAGGCCTCTAGGCCTCAGAACTTTAAACTATGATATAAGTTCACTTGCTTAACCACAAGAAGACCTCCACCCTTTTAGCCTGATGAGTAAATGACCAAGCCCATCATAAAGGAGATGGCTTAATGATATGGAAAATCTCTAACTATTTTTGTTTCCCTTCTGCCCTTCAATCTCTCTCTCTCTCTATTGCCCATTATGGGGAAATGGCTATGAGCACGTGGCCAACAGGTGACCCTTGCCCTGCTAATTTTTTTGCTCATATAGATGATTTGTTATTATGGCCATCAGTCCTTGCTCATCCCATGACCATTTTCTGTCCAAGACTGTCATCAGCCCTAGACTGGATTGTACTGCATGTTCTGTTGAAGAGTCAAGGTATAGATCTGGAGAGTCAAATGTATAGTTCTGTCAACCAATGAAATCTTGTATTTTTCTTTGCATCATCTAGAATGTCTCTGTAACATCTTGTCAAACACTATAAAACCCAGGCCTTGGAGAAAGAGGGCATTTCATTCCAATCGTAGGAAGATCTGAGGTCCTATTCATTAAAAAGGGCCAGGTCCCTTTAATAAATGGTTATTGGCTTAGAGCTCTGCCTCGGCATTTTTTCTTATAAGTTGGATGTTTTGGGGCCTACAGAATCCCTCTAAGACCAAATATGCCTACCCAGAGTTAGAGCATGGCAAGGGGAAAGAGGGATCCTTCTCTGGACCCCTTCCTACTGGGTCACATGGGGCCACTCCTGGGCATGTTTGGTCTGGCCTGAGTCCTTTTCTCTCCTTTACTCAGTGTTTTCAACTGAGTCCAATGGATACAGAGTTGGAGGACTTGGGTTCTTTTTTTTTTCTTTTCCACAATGATTTAATATTTTTCCCCCAATTACATGTAAAAACAATTTGTAACATTCTTTTTCTTTAAATTTGAATCCCAAATTCTCTCCATCTCTCCCTCCCCTTCCTCTCATGTTGAGAAGGCAGGAAATTTTATATAGATCATACATGTGCAATCACACAAAACGCTTCCATGTTAGTCATGTTATGAAAGAAAATACAGACTCCTGCTCCCCCTCCCCTCAAGAAAAATAAAGTAAAGAAAAAATATGCTTGGGTCTGCAATGAGACTTCATCAGTTCTTTCTCTGGAGATGGATAGCATTTTTCATCATAAGTCCTTTATAATTGTCTTGCATCATTGTATTATTGAGAAGAGCTGTCATTCACAATCCAAGGACTTGGCTTCTAATTCCAGCTCTTCTTCCTAGTACCTGAGGGACCAGGGGCAGAACTCTTCTCTGTGGGCCTTCTCCACTAAAGGAATAAATGAAAAAGCATTTACTAAGTGCTTGTATGCTAAGCACTGGGGACAAATACAAAAGCCAGACAATTCCTGCCCTCCAGGAACTTACTGGTTGATTGGGGAGTTGTAGCCTGAAGGTCCAGATTTTGGCCCAGGAAGTCTCTCCACTGACACACCCCTTTTTAAAAAATTTATTTATTTTGATTTATCAACAATCACTTCCATAAGCTTTTGAGTTTTAAATTTTTATCCCCCTCCCTCCTCAAGATGACATGCAATCTGATATGGGCTATACATATACATTCCTATTCAACATTTTCACATTAGTCACGTTGTAAGCAAGAATTAGAACCAAGGGGAGGAGCCACCAGAAAGAAGAAGCAAAACAAAACAGAAGAAAAAAAATTAGCAAAAGTATGTTTTGATCTGCTTTCAAACTCCATAATTCTTTCTTTGGATGTGCGTAGTGTTTCCCATCATTCTGCCTTTGGAGATGTCTTAGATCCTTGCATTGCTGAGGACAAAGTCTATCACACAACGTGGCTGTTACTGTGTACAACATTCTCTTGGTTCTGCTCACTTTACTCAGCATCAGTCCATACAAGTCTTTCCAGGTTTTTCTTAAGTCTGCCTACTCATCATTTCTTATAGCACAATAGTATTCCATTACATTCATATACCACAACTTGTTCAGCCATTCCGCAATTGATGGGTATTCCCTCAATTTCCAATTCTTTGTCACCACAAAAAGAGCTGCTATAAATATTTTTGTACATGTGAGTCCTTTTCCCATTTGTATGATCTCTTTGGGATACAGCCCTAGAAGTGCTATTGCTGGGTCAAAGGGTATGTACATCTTTATAGCCCTTTGGGTATAGTTCCAAATTGCTCTCCAAAATGGTTGGATCATTTCACAACTCCACCAACAATGCATTAGTGACACACCCTTTTAAGGGACAAAATGAGGAAAGTTAATGAATGATCTCTAACGTTCTTCAAGGATTACTATGATTGAAGCTATATACCCAAGCATTGGGGTCAGTCAACCATTTAATAAATGCCTACTATGTGCCAAGCACTGAGCTAAGGGTGGGGAGAGGGATACAAAATAGCAAAAATAGTCCCTGTCCTCAAGGAACTAACAATCTAAGGTGGGGGGGACATGACAACATGCAAATAACTATTGTGAATGTTTAGAATGCCATAACCTTGAATGTGATTGTGATCAATGTATTACAGAACAAAACATGACCCCTCTACTCAAAGTAACTAAGATTAGGTTTCCAGACCAACATCCATTGGATGGAGAAGTTGACTAAACCAGTCCATGGTGACACTCTGTACTTTCTAAGAACAGATGTTCTACCTCCCAACCAGTATGCAAATTAGGTAATCCTAAAATGTTTGCCATGTTGAGTGATATGCAAAGGAGTGAACCCTAAGCTGCCAGGCTATAATAAGACTAGCAACACTGCTTCAATGGGTATAAAATCTCAAGGCTTGAGACCTCACCTCCAGCAGCATTTGACCTCTTGAGTTCTAACTCCCAGAGGACTCTGGTGAACTGTGTGCTGTGTCTGGGCGCCTCTG